TAATATCATAAATATGTTAATTCTCCCAAATTGATCTATAGACTTAGGGACACTCATTAACCATTTTCCATGGAATTTGACAATTTGATTCTAAAATGTACATGAGACAGTAGAGAGCCGAGAGTAGGTAAAATATTTCTAAAGAAGTTGAGGAAGGAGAGGCTTGCTTTAGTAGATATTAAGAGTTATGAGAATGTTTTCCTGGATGAGGCTCTATGGTATCAGTCCAGGGATAAAACAAACGACCAACTAAACAGAAGAAACTGCCAAAACTTAGCTATGTATGAATATATCAAACTTTTATTTCTGACCAAGTTGACATGACAGATCACTTTTTTCTGAGATTTTTTTTTATCTTTTTATTTTTATTAGTTTTTAGTTTTTATTTAAATTCCAGTTAACATAGAGTATATTAGTTTCAGGAATAGAATTTAGTGATTCATCACTTATCTACAACACCCAGTGCTTACCACAAGTGCCCTCCTTAATACCCATCTCCATTCCCCATCCACTTCCCCTCCATCAACCCTGTTTGTTCTCTATAGTTACGAGTCTGTTTTATGGTTTCCCTCTTTTTTCCCCCATGTTCGTCTGTTTTTTTCTTAAATTCCACATAGGAGTGAAATCATATGGTATTTGTTGTTCTCTGACTGACTTACTTTGCTTAGTATAATACTGAGATTTAATGTTTTTTTTTTTCCCTTGGTTAAAAATGACCCAAGAAGAAAACCAACAGCTGGTGCTGAAAAGAAAAAGTTGAAAAAAGTAAAGATTCCTGTCCAGCAAATAACTCTACAAATTACTTGACTCTCTCAATGGAATGATCACAGACCCACAAGGGTCCTGTATGTGAGCCCTGTGAGGACCAGGTCTTGTCTTTCTGTCATTGCTATAGACTTAATGGCATGAAGTAGCCACTCAATAAATAATGAATGAATTATTCAGAAAAGTCAAGGATTTGCTATTGCTTACAAAAATGATTAGACGGCACAAACAATGAATCATTGAACACTACATCAAAAACTAATGGTGTGGGCGCCTGGGTGGCTCAGTTGGTTAAGCGACTGCCTTCAGCTCAGGTCATGATCCCAGGGTCCTGGGATCGAGTCCCACATCGGGCTCCCGGCTCGGCGGGGAGCCTGCTTCTCCCTCTGAACCTCTCCCCTCTCATGCTGTTTCTCTCCTGCTCACTCTCTAATAAATAAATAAATAATCTTAAAAAAAAAAAAAACTAATGGTGTAACGTATGGTGATTAACATAACAATAAAAAATTTAGAAAAATGATTAGATGGAAATACACTAAAATTTTAAAATTATCTCTGCTTGGTGTATTACTGTGTTGTTGTTCGGGGTTTTTTTTGGGGGGGGGAGTTGTTTGTTTGTTTGTTTATTCTGGTAGGTAAGTTTCTGTGACTTTAAATGAAATACCATGAAAGACTATCTCTCTTGTAATCACAAAAAAGCCACTAAAATACATAATCACCATTTTAAAAACAAATGGACTTATCTTTATCTCTTCCTTCTAGTGTTGTAGCTGACGGATGGCATCATATACATGCCAGATGGAATTCCTTACAAAGCCATGGTTCTCAACCTTGGCTGCACTTTCGAATCACCAGGGGAACTGATCCACATCATCAGAAAGTTTAATCTCATCAAGTGGGGCTTGAGTACCAGTCATGTTTTGAAGTTTCCAAGGTTTTCTAATGTGCCACCAAGCTGAAAACCATGTCAGTAGAGCTTTATAGAGAAGGGTCTAACAAAAAGAAAGCGCATCATAAACACCCACCAAAGCAGGCACAAGGGAGAGGTCATTCCTGGATTATCACAGAAACTTAGACTAGAATCCTAGGACACAGCCCTGCCAGCAGACCCCCTCTGAGCCACACAGGACTTAAGACAAAAAGAATCCTGAAATTAGGCTCTGACACAAATTGCAGTTTGACTTTTGTGAAGTCCCTTCTCTTCTCTGAGCTGCAATTTCTCATCATTAGGGGCACCTGGGTGGCTGAGGTGGTTAAATGGCTGCCTTCAGCTCAACTCATGATCTCGGGATCCTGAGATCCAGCTCCACATCGGGCTCCTTGCTCGGTGGGGAGTCTGCTTCTCCCTCTGCCTGCCCCTACCCCCTGCTTGTGCTCTTTCGTGCTCACTCTCCCTCTCTCAAATAAATAAAATCTTTAAAAAAAAATTCTCATCATTAAAATGATGGGGTGTCCCGTGTTATAAATTTGCTCTCTCAGACATACCCATGCTTAAATTCACGTCCTGGACATACTAGTTGCCTGACATTGGGTAAGTCAATCTTTCTCATTTCCTTATCAATAATAGCACCTTATCAATACTAGTGCCAACCTACCTCATGCAGTTATTACAAGGGTTAAACAAGTAAGTATTTATAAATATTAGAACTCGACACACAGAAATCACTGTGAAAATGGCCATTCCCTGCCACTTACCAAATAGCAACTGAAGAAACAGAAGGGCCAGGTGGGCCTGACTCGGACAGCAATATTCCCCTCTTCTCCTGGAGATAGGATGTTGCCCTCATCATCCACGATCTGGCAGAGAGATCACAGGGCCGTGTCTGGATATCTGCACAGCCAGACCACCCCAACAGCCGAGCCTGCTGAGGCTAACCAGACATGCATTTTGCTCTCCTCTTTGAGCCAAGCCTCAACAACAGTTGGGGGAGGCTGCCTACCTGCACATCATAAGGTGGAGATGCTTTCCCCATGGATCCAGACTTGATTTTCATGCCTTTTGAATTGGCACAGATTAAAACCTGGAGAGAAAGCAGGTCCAGAAAGGTGGAGACGTATCCCTGTAGCTTCTTCCCCTTCCTGGTGTCCACCTTTTCTCTCACTCTGCCTTCTACCGCTCCTTCTCTCTCCCCTCTCCTACCTGCTCTTCGTTTCTCTCCCTTCCTTCTGCCTCCCTTCCTTCCTTCTCTTCTTTCCATAGTCAACAAACATTTATTGAATGCCCTACTGGACACTGACACATAAAGAACCAAATGTGTCGCTAAGCCAAAAGACTCAGTTGACCCCCAACTCTCTGCTGCCCGGATGGCTGTGGGGAATACTGGGTAAGATCCTGGGCTCTGACCAGAGACAGATGGAGGCTGTCCTGGTGGAGACAAATGGTACCTGCAGTCGTGAGAGTAGGTTTGCTGGCTATGGTGTCATTGTGAATTCACTTTATCTTTTAAACCAAAAGGGAAGAAAAGCTGATGGGATTTTGTTATCAGCTTCTCCCAGGGGGCAGGGCAGTCCCTGATGGGTGTCACAGCCAGGAAGGCAGGAGGCTCTTCGGGCTGGTCATCTCCACCAAGTGGCTGAGGGTGCAGGTGGAGATGACCTGCGGCAGGGACCCGGGCCCTAGTAGCACTCACTGTTTTAGACTGGCCATAGCCTTCATGCAGCTCCAGGCCCACCTGGCTCTTCCACTTCTCTCTCACGTCAGGATTCAGTGCCTCTCCTCCAGTCAAACAGTGCCTCAGGCTCTGAAACTGGTACCTTTCTCAGTTGGAAAACAAGACCACCCGTGTCAGGATCCCTCCAGCCCCCACGGGACCCAACAATGCTGCTCAGGTCTACACATCTAAAGCCACTGGAGGGTAAAGTCCAGGCTTTATCATCTCTTCCAAGTGCCCCATCCTCTGGCTTTGCAGGCATATTCCTCATGGGCAGATAATTTTTTAAAAAATCAATCCTATCTGATTTTGGAATAAAATCAGAACCTCATATAAGTAGGTTTTGGCATAACATAGCGAACTCCAGGTGAACTGGCCAAAATAACTTAGTTGAAAACAAACTGATAATAAATTGGTTAGGACAACCACCTGGTTAAAAAAGATAAACCAATTACATGGGGCACCTGGGTGACTCAGTCAGTTAAGCGTCTGTCTTCGGCTCGGATCATGATCTCAAGGTCCTGGGATCGAGCCCCGCATTGCACCTGGCTCCCCGCTCAGCGGGGGAACGTGCTTATCCCTCTCTCTCTGCCCCTCCCCTTCGGCTTGTGTTCTCTCTCTCTCAAATAAATAAATAAAATCTTTTTAAGAAGAAAAGATAAGCTGATTACAAATTTAAAAGGTAGGAAGTAGCCCCCTGGGAATCTGACAATTCTGACAAATGGGCCAAAAATTCCAACATATGTTGTAAAACTACCCCTCCATTCAACAAATTATCCAAAATGTAAAAAATTGGTGGTTGCAAATACATTTCAACCATTTTTTTTCCTTTGGATAAACTTGGTTTGACTATTAATTAGTATTACCTAGTACCTTTCAACCAAACTGTTCTTCAACAAGTTATTCAGAGTCTGCTTGCAGTTAAAACCTTGATCTTAAGGTATACATGACAGATCAATGAATGGGATAAATTCTTACATTAGGGAAGAATTCACCAGGGGAATCATGTAAGAACTCCCCCTTAGGTGCTTCATGGACAGATACATGGGATGAGGGGAGACAATAGAAGAGGCAAACATAGATCAGAGTCAGTAAGCTACTGAAAGGTCATAGGTCTCTGTCCATACACCTCAGCAACTAGACTTGTCCTGCTAGCAGATGTTCCTTTGGATTCACCCAGGATGGGAGCCACACGTACACAGAGTCTTGTTGCCTTCAGTGGGATATCCAATGGCATTCACTCAGAGAGTGGCTGAATGGAGTTAGTTTGGGCCTGAGGGATGGAACATCTACTACGGTGGGCTTGCTGGTCCCCCAAACCTAAGGCCCTGGCCACAAATCCCACTCCACGGGTGGCTAACAATTATCCAACAATTTCTCCAACCTCACAGAAGTAGAAGACACACTGCTGAGAGATGCCCTTGTGGAGAGATAGCCCACCTCAAGTGCTAAAATTTCAGACTCTCTTAAATCTATCCAATTCCATCTGGATGCAAATCCCTGGGCAGGAGGTGGTGGTGCAGAAGTTCATTTTTGGGGGGCATCTGCAAAGGATATAGATGTGTATGCTTGAGCATGTGTGTGTGTGAGATAGAGGAACACAGATATATATAATATTCTAGATATATATTCTGTATAGAAAGAATCACAGATGTGTGTGTGTGTATATATATATATATAGAGAGAGAGAGAGAGAGAGAGATGAGACAGAGACAGAGTTGGTCGAGAGGATGGGTGTGCATGTGTACATAAACTGCTGTATATCCACATACTTAGGTCCCCAAAGCGCCAAACAGATGGGCTGGCTGTACCTGGTGCGATCCTCCTGTACCAGGAGCCGGAAGATGGTGGGGACACAGCAGAGGGTGGTGATCGGGAATCTGGAGAGAGTCTAAACAAAAACAATGGGTAGAAGATCTTCTTAGAGGTACTGGGGTGGGACTTCGTGGAGATGGAGCAGGTGAACTGGATCTTCATACTCTCACTACCAGAGGAGAGAAGGTGAAAACTGTGTGTGCCTTCCAGTCCAAGATGGCCCTGAGTGATGTCACTTCCTAATATTTTTACTCTTGTGGGGCCCCTTCCCACATTGAACCAAGTTGGTCTGTGTGACCAATAGCATACCACAGAAGTGACAGATGCCACTTTTGAGATTATACAAAGACTACCTATCTTGAGTTACTTGCTCTGGGGAAAACAGGCCACCATGTTGTCAGTATACTTGAGTGTATACAGTAAGAAACTGAAACCTTTGGCCAATAGCCAATGAGAAACTTAAGACTTCGAAAAACCACATGAGTGGGTTTTTAAATAGATTCTCTATTCCCAGTCAAACCTTAAGATAATTGCAGTCCTGGCAGACATCTTTCTTTTATATTATGGTAAAATACACACCACATAAAATTTACCATTTTAACCATTACATAAAATGTACACTCTAATGGCAATAAATACATTTACATTGTTGTGCAACCATCACCACTATCCATCTCCAGAACTTCAAAATATCTTCCCACATGGAAACTCTGTACCCATTACATGATACCTCCCCGTTTCTTCTTTCCCCCAGTTCCTGACCATTCTACTTTCTGTCTCTATGACTTTAACTACTCTAGATACATGATACAAGTGAACCATACTGTATCCATCCTTTTGTGGCTGGCTTATTAGCTCACTCAACATAATGTCGTCAAGATTCATCCATGATATAGCATGTGTCATTCCTTCTTTTTAAAGGCTGAATAATGAGGAGGGAAAAGATGACGGAGTAGGGGACCCTATTCCAACTGGTCCCCGGAATTGAGCTGGATATCTACCAAATCACTCTGAACACCCACGAAATCAGCTTGAGATGTAAAAAGATAGATCTGGATCTCTACAAACAGAATATTGCAGGCATTTGGTTTCGAGGTACGAAGCAGGGAACCGTGATTCCACGGGCACATATGGGAGGATAAAAGGAAGGGGGAGGGAGCCGAGCCATCGGGATCCTACACCACCAGTGAGCCATAGCTTCCCGCGCTGGGGACTGGGCACAGACTCGCAGACTGGCAGCGGTGGGGAAAGGACTTTAGGGCAGCCCCCCCGGATGGAAACCTGGAGCGGCAGGGCCAGGCACACGAACTGGGGGTGGCTGGTGGTTTTAGAAGCACAAAGGGCAGAGATGTGCCCGGACCTGGAGGCGAGGACTGGGAGCACTGCAGAGGGTGCACAACCCAAGACTGCATTTTATAGCAGCACAGACAGAAACGGAGATAGTGTGGCCTGGAGAGCTCACTGAAAAACAGGCTGTGATCTCTCTGCTCTGAGGCAGAGGGTTGGAAACGGTCTCTTCTGCTCTGACTCTAGGAAGAGATGAAGAAAGTAGCCAGGGAAAGCCACCAGGGAACAAAAGCCCCAAAAAAACAGTTTCCACTGAGCCCATCCCCCGCCACAGGGGTCACGGCAACTCTGCTCAAACAGGGTTGCCTGAGTAACAGCGCGGCAGGCCCCTCCCCCAGAAGACAGGCTGGGAAAACAAGAGGCCAGCAACCCTAAGGTCCCAAGAAAACAGGTGCATCTTCCTTGGGTTGTGGTCAATAACTGGGACTCTGTACATTCCCTCAACCACCACTCAAGAGAATGACTAGGAGGAGGAACCCCCAAAATAGGAAAGATTCAGAGACTATGACTTATGCAGCAGATTTACAAATGGATTCAGATATAACCAAGATGTTGGAGCTGGAATTCAGGGTAGCAACTGTGAAGACGATAGCTAGAATGGAGAAATCAATTAATGGCAACATAGAGTCTCTAAGGGCAGAAATGAAAGCTGAACTGGCAGAACTTAAAAATGCTATCAATGAGATCCAATCTAATCTAGATAATCTAACAGCTAGGGTAAGTGAGGCAAAAGAATGAATTAGTGCTTTAGAAGACCAATTAATAGACAAGAAGGGAAAAGAAGAGGCCAGGGAAAAACAACTCAGAATCCATGAAAATAGAATCAGAGAAATAAGTGACACCATGAAATGTTCCAATGTCAGAATTATTGGGATCCCTGAAGGGGGTGGAGAGAGAGGACTAGAAGATATATTTGAGCAAATCATAGCTGAGAACTTCCTTAATCTGGGGAATGATACAAACATTCGTGTCCTAGAGGCAGAGAGGACCCATCCCAAGATCAAGGAAAAGAGGCCAACACCCTGGCATGTGATAGGAAAACTCGCAAACCTTTAGAACCAAGGAAACCATCTTAAGGGCAGTTAGGGGGAAGAAATTCCTTACGTACAGAGGGAGGAACATCAGAATAACGTCAGACCTATCCACAGAGAC